ACTAACTACTTCCATTGACTGAAACTAATTATGTATGGTTGGATAGAGGGTGGATGTGGTTTTTTATTTCTTAATTATGTATAGGGTGTTTTAGAAAACGAACCAAAGTCGAAATTTTGCAAAATCTGAAAAAAGAAAATCTCTCGAAAATAATAATTATCGAAAATAGCCATTAAACCATATAAAAATAATTCATAACAAATCTAGACATATATACCTTTCATTTAAAAAAAGAATCATCAAGATTGGTGAAGCGGTTTCGGCGGGATGGACGTAACAAAAAAAAACCTTTGAACTTTTATATATGTATGGATTATGAGACGAGTAACGCTCCTTTGGTTTATATAAAAATGTATTTACAAGTTTTTAAATTGGAAAATATTTTATAAAATTTTATACATATTTTGTTATTAGAGGTATTTACGTGTAAGACAGAAGTATATCAATATTTCTAAAAGAAGGTGAGATTGATATACAGCGTGCTACTTTTTAGTACTAAGAATTTAACAGTCAATAAAGAAATATACAGCGACCGACACGAGGAAACAAAGAGGAAATCTCAACATTTTCATGAGTTTTTAAGTTCAATATATTTTGTTCTAGTAAGCCGATATTGACTATTTTTGAAGCAACGTATAGCTCAATTATTTGTCTCTATTAGCATCTATTTAAATTAAAAATTAAATTTCTCATCTGTCTATTATATGAGGAAAAAGAAAATGTTATTTGGGCGAAAGTTTGGAACATCCTGTAGATTGTTAAAGTAAAGAATTTCATAATCACTTACTCATCAAAGTGCAGTTTTTCTCAATAGTTTGATTTTTGATTCATCTAAATAGTTTATTTTTGTTGGAGATATTCGCTGATTCGCACCTTTTAATTTCAATACAAATATATGATTAATATTTTAAAGTTCCTTCACCAATTTGTCAAAAATAATTAATTAGACATCTACATTTCAGGTGCGAATTTCTTTTTGCCAAATAAAGTTTTAATTTAACGGAAGTTAGCCTTTGGGAACGATTGCTCAAACAAATTTTACTTCAAACAAGGGCTCCTTTTAATTATAAAAGAAACCCTTAATTATCTGAAATCCTATAACCGGTACATAAATGACGTAAATAAAAGGGAATTACACCCTGGAAATTGCTCAAAATAAATATTTTTTTGTCCTTTGATGTTTGAAATTATCCGTTCTATAAAAATAAAATATATCAAACAGGACTGTACTTATTTAAATCTAAATTATAGGGTGTGGCAACAAAAGGTTTTTTTTGTGCTATAATAAATTATTGTACTATAATTTAGTTTATAATTATATTCTTTATAATTGTACTATAAGTAGTTGCTACTGTTGATTTATACAGAATGAGATTTGCAATAAATGCACATATTTTTATAGAAGCGGTATATTTATATATAGCTTATATTTACAGGGTCCTGCAGTAGTGCGTCGGGCATCTGTAGCTTCTAGAATAAAAAACTTGAGAATTTTGTTTAAGTGCAGACCTAAAGTATGTACCAGGATTTATTTCCGGAAAATATTTTAACCTCTATAGGGTGGATCAAAAAAGTGTGAGTGGATCTGTATATTATTGAATTTTTGGCTTCCTTTCAGATCATTTTACATAATCCTAAGATATGAGTAAATCTATTTCGATAGTTTCAGAGATATTAAAAAAGAAATCAAAAATATATATTTTTCAACCCTTCTTAAAAAAATTCTAACTATATTAAGCAAAAATACTAAACTATATTAACATTAACTATTTATTAGCTATTTACTATTTTAGATAATTACATTTTAGACGGTCTGTTCTTACTTTGCTATAAATATGATAATCGTAAATCATACAGGATGTTCAATATTTTACACCAAACTTATATATTTGATGGAGAATAAAAAATGAACATTTTTTGTATTTACAGTATTTCAAAATTTTTAATAGTTTTCCGGATACACGCAGTATTATTTCATATAGCGCTTTCAATGGTAAAATACGAGAGAAAAATCATTGGGTGGCTTTGATAAAAATTTACTGTGGAAAATGCCATATGAAATACAAAACCGGGAATATCTGCGTAACCGTTAAAAATTTTGAAATACTCTAAATGCAAAAAATGTTCATTTTTTAATTCTCCATCTATTGAAAAAATAATATACAGGGTGTTCCATTTAAAAAACAAAGAAAACTTATTTTATATTTTAGAAAGTATGGCGTAGAATTTTGAACATCCTGTATGATTTACGATTTCCATATTTATAGAAAAGTAGTAAATACCATCTAAAGTAAATATATAATATAGTTTTGATTTACATTTTTTTTTTCAGGACAGTTCCAGTATTATTAATATTTTTTCTAAGAACAGCTGAAAAATATATAATTTTTATTTATTTATTAATATCTCTGAAATTATCGAAATATATTTACTCATGTCATAGGATTGTGTAAAGTGATCTGAAAGGTAGCCAAAAATGCAATAATATACATACCATTTAAAAAAATCATCCCGATCCACTCACACTTTTTTGAGCCACCCTATAGAAGTTAAAATATTTTCCTGAAATACATCTTAGTACATACTTGAGGTCTGCACTTTAACAAAATTCCCAAGTTTTTTATTCTAGGAGCTACAGATGCCCGACGCACTATTGCCGGACCCTGTATATCCTACAAACCCTGCTACAAACACGTCTAATAAGTATTTTTCGCGAAAAAAAATGTTGAATTTCGACATCTACCAGTCCTAAAATATGTGCACTTATTTAAGACTCGCCCTGTATAGATTATAATTAAATTAAAATAGGCAAAATGAACGAACGCCTTAAAATATGACAATTTATTATATACAGGAAATTTTGTTTCAAGTTACAAGATCTATTTAAAACATAAAATATGAACAAAAATCGATACAATCTGAAAAGAGTTACAATCTATTTTTTATGTACAGGGTATAGAGTAGCGTACGAAATTTCGGTGAGTTATATATATATATATATATATATATATATATATATATATATATATAACATATTCCCTAAGATGTGTCTTTTGAGTATTTACAATAAAATAATTAGATCGTTCATGAAGCAAAGTTAATTGCTATTTTATTTTAAGATTTTTGACATGCAATTTTCGTGCTTTGACTTTGTACTCACATACACGTTGTATTGTTTTTTTATAAAGTTTTTGTAGTTAGTTTTCACGTGTATTTTAAAAGTTGATTTTTACTACTGCATTTGAGAAATGAGGATTCTTTTGATTGTTGAGCAATGTTGTAAACTTTACCATAATCCCACTTTGGTGAGTTGCATTTTAATAGTTTTTTACAGAATAGAAATTGTATTTAATTACTATAATTGTAGAAGAGTCCTGAAGAAGAGAACAACTGAATTCTCGAAAGCTTGACTAAACAATAAAGGGTTTTTCCTTGAACTAACGGCCTTCTTATTAGACTGCATCCCCAAGACACCTGTTTAATATTTTCTCAACTAGTCAGTCTGCGCAGACTACCCATCTCTTTATTATATATATATATATATATATATATATATATATATATATATATATATATATATATATATATATATATATATAATCTTTATTAGTATATCAAATTAAATTCTAATTGTCTTCACAGAGACAAGCGACGTAATAAGAAAAATTTATAAAACCAAGTTTTAATAAACTTGGATAACTATAATTTCAATTTTTATTTTTTTATTTACATTTTTTAGATTAATTTTATGTATTTATTTTTGTTTAATTATTGTATTATATGTTCATAGGAACTTTTTGTTTTATTTTATAATCTATTTTTATATATATATATATATATATATATATATATATATATATATATATATATATATATATTATAAAATTATATATATATATATATTCAAACATATTCCCTAAGATTCTCCCAGTATTTTTTACTTTATTTGATAGATAATGATATTTTGAATAGTATGACATTTTTTGACAACTTTTGACATTTTCTCTTAAAAAAATAATTCATGATTATAATTTATTTTTAATAGTAAATATTTATAATTTCAATCTAGAGTATGACGACAATAAATATAAAGACAATTTGACTCGAAATAACAAGTACGTGGTACCAAATTATTCGTAAAAATGCGTTATGAAACGGTGAAATAGGAAGTGATCGAAAATAATTATTGAATACTTCAATCAATTCCGATTTATGTTATATAGGCTGTTTCAAAAACATGTGCCATCTCTCGTGAGGAGATTCCGCAGGTAAAAATAGGATTTATTTTTCATATCAACATAGGTCCGATTCTGATTTGTTTCGCAGCTACAGTGTGTTAAAATCTTAATATTTTTTCGATTTATTTTAATTTTCTTCCAAGTACTTTTAGCGTTTCGAATGAAATTTTGAGGGTAGAAGTTACTATAAATGCGACATATTTTAAAGCTAAAAAAGTGTCGACATATTCACCATGGACGTGCATATGGGTTATCACTGAAATATTTTTCTAAAAAAAACATGTACGCCACTGACTTTTTTTTCTCTTGTTAGCGAAATAGTGTAGCATAAGCATTTTAATGCCCATTAAAAGTTTCTCTTGATATTTTATCGATTTCGGCCTCCTTGGTGAGATAAAGGCAATTTTATTAATTTGCATTGATCCAAGTCTAATAGCAACCTTTAAAAAAATTAATATCATTAACTTGCAAAAGTTTTATTTTTGAAACACCCTGTATACTTACATATACCCAATCGTGTTTTTTTAACTGAAAAATTAAAAAAGTTATGGAGGTGAGCCTCTATTGAAAAATACCCGGTATATCTAAAATTTAATTATTTCTACTTTATGATTAATAATAAAATTCACACAAATATGAAGTTTGCAAATTAAATTTGTTATTTTTTTTAGATTTATTCGTGGAATAAAAAATATGGATATTTTTGAGTCATATCTGTTTGTGTAAAACGTATGTAATAATTGACTTTCTATTTTGTTACAGGACAGACCTAAGAATTGTCAGTGAAGCCGTCCAAAGCAAAAGCCTTAGTACTCTAATTATGGTAAGTGTATCATTCATAATAAACTTAACTCCTTTTGCCAAATAATCGAAATGATTGCATTGTCTAAAAGTACAATATTTGGAGAAAATTTGTTCAGTCTTTGTTCCAAGTTTCCAATTTCATTTTGACTTCTTCCTTAAGTAAACCATCTTGTAAATAATGGATGCTATCAGAGATCCCGCTACTGGTCCAACCCAATATACCTAAAATAACAATAAATTATATTTTACAATAACAAAGTAATCAGTATTTCATGCTACTAATATGTATTATACCACTAAAATTTCAGTTTATGTATTTATGGTATAAACAAAGTGGGAAAAATTCGGGAGGTGATTGTTTATTCAAAATAGACAGTTCTAAAGTAACCTGTCACTATTTTTTGGAACCTATATTTTCTACATAGACTCTGTTAAATAAATAAGTATAACACTATCTCACATATAATTCATAATACAATAATTAAACAAAAATAAATACATAAAATTAATCTAAAAAATGTAAATAAAAATTGAAATTATAGTTATCCAAGTTTATTAAAACTTGGTTTTATAAATTTTCTTATTACGTCGCTTGTCTCTGTGAAGACAATTAGAATTTAATTTGATATACTAATGAAGACTGAGCTAGTTAAATATTTAAATAGGGTTGGCTTTGCAGGTTAGTAAACTTAATTATACAATAACTGACGTAATAATTCAAAGAGTTTTAAATTGATAATTTATATAACAATAAAATTACTTTATTTCCTTCTGTCATTTATGTTATTTGTGATAATTGATTTTGGTATCCTGTATTTAAGAGGTTTTTAGTATTAAATTTTCTATTTAAAAGAGAATTATTATACCTATAACAATCTAGTATTGTGCCATCAAAATTAAAAAAAATACACACAATATAATCTAAAAAGTAGATACAGTGGATTTTGAATAACATAAAGAAAAATATACAAATAAAGATTACTCTTTTTCAAAAGTGCTTAAAGTGTTCGCTGTTAAAACCAGAGCCATTAGGATATTGATCTTTTTGCATTGCTAAACAATATATTTATGTAGCATCGTTGATTGAAGAAATAAGTAAAAATAAAAATAGTGTAAATAATAAATAATAAAAAAAATAAAAAATGAAAAATAAATAATAAATATATTGAAATAATATAAATAATCCCAATTCTTTCATTCGACGGTAGCATTTTATACAAAAACTTAATTTTTGTTTGGTTTGAGACTTTTTCGAGTTTTTTTCACACGATGGACTTACTTAATATTAGCCTTGTATATAAGAATATATAAACAAGGATATTAGATAACAATCGATAGCTTAAGGTAAATGCTCACTAGCGCAAATTTCGGGAATACGTTAGTTAAATTATTTGACATGATGAAGTTCGAGCGGGATAATCCTATTTTTTTTTCAATTATAAATAGGAAATTAGGAATTTTTTTAAAGTTTTGATTAATTGTCGTTTTGTATATAGGCCCTGGATCATATATACTTATGTGGATAAATAAATAATTAGAAAAACTGTCGTAAACATATCAACGACGTACTTTTATCTTATTTCTTTGTTGCACGCGTGGTATTTGAATATAAATTTTAAAAATTGATATACAACTATAAATATACTATAAATAAAATGTCTAACTAAACACACTTGCATCCTTTGCAAAATAAAAGTGTCATAAAAGTTAAAAAAATAAGAACTTCAAAAAAAGCAGTTGTACGCAATGAAAATAAGATTATGAAAAATGAAAAACAAATTAAAATGGTAAAATGTTTCTAAATTATTTGTCTATTTTTTTGGTACAAAGATTTTTTTTGATTGTACGGGAAGCAGGAAGTACGTTCAATTTTTAATGCGCTTGTGCAAAGTAAGGTCTTCAGAAGGTACTGCGAGTATTATATAATAGGTGTGCTTTCGGCACAGATGTTTGTAAAAAAGTGATATATTAAATATACCAGAGCTTTTGCGAGGTTCACATTCGTGTGTGAGTTTACAAGGCTAGAAACAATTAAAACATACCCAATGGTCTTTAAAATCCCCACTCATAACTGCTGGTCCAAAACTTCTTGCTGGGTTCATACTAGCACCAGTGTAGGCACCCTAAAAATATTTATCTCTATTAACAGTTAATAATAATTTGAATATGACGTTTATATATATTATATATTATTGTTACTCTGTTATCACTATTTCGCTTCTAATACATCTTTACTTCACAAAAAAATTCTGGGTTTTTTGCCAATGGAACAAAATTTACAAAATAAAAGAGTTATTTATTTTTTGTACTGCAAAAAAAACACTGCATTGTTTCAACGGAGACCAATAATTTGTCAGTAATATTTACTAATTCAAAGCATTCAGAATGTTAAAAATTAGTGGTAAGAATTTTCAATTAGTTGAAAAAGTTGACAAACTTTTAACTAATCCACTAATTAATAATTCAAAATTTGCAAGGAATGTTATTTTGGCCTTTGATTATCATCCGTCAAGAAAAAATGTGGTTAGAAATCAAAAGTTTATTGTTTTATAAGCTAAATATTAGGCTTTCTCTATGGATATAACTGATTACCGCAAGCTGTTGCTAGGATATTAATTGTGTATTTTAGACATTATGAATGATCGTAACCTAAAAGGTAGAAAGTTTAATTGAAACCACTAATTTACTCCACTAATTGCGATGTTATGAATGAAGCTTCACTCATTTACAAAAAAAATACTTTTTTAATTTGTAGATTTTCCTCTAGTGAAGAAAAAACAGTGCCCGTATTCTGTAACTTTGACATAAAAACGTTACGCTTTCAAAGCGGTGAGCGCAAGAATTCGATCAGCGAAACGCAAGGCAGTCGATTTTCGTATTCTCGTTGCCATGCGAATCGTGTTCTGGATACGCGTTGAGCACATATTGGCAACATCACAATTTCTAATGTAGGTAATAGTCAAAAGTTGATAACTGACGGATGTAATAATGAAAAATGTATTTCATAACCTATTGTTGAGTTGCGTCAAGCTATTTTTCTATGGATATGTCATTATTCTTATTATACGAGGGAAGTGTTGAAGACGCTTTCTCAGAATTTCCGATGTTTTGAACAATATTTATAGCTACCAAGTCTTAAATTATCAATTACTTATTGAGGAATTTATAGAAGTAGTAGTAATTTTCACTAAAGAGCAAGATAACGCACAAAATCACAATTTTTTCGATTTTCACTGACAGTTCGACAAGTAAAACGATTCTTTAAGGCAACCGTTTTCAAAGCGCTCAGCGCTATCAATAAAGACGCTAAGCGCGTCAGACGAGAATACCGAAATCGTTAATTAAGTGAGCGCTCAGCGAAAATTAACGTCATATACGCTTAGCGACTAAAAGCGCTTAGCGTTTTCAAAGTTACGGAATACGGGCCCAGAAATCCTTTTAAGAAACGAACCCGCTACAAAGGTATACCGGGTGGTACATCGTCGTTAGAAACATAGGAAATCCCATGCAAATTTTGAACTGTCCAGATATTGGCTCCCCTATTGATTTTATAGCGAAGTCGTAAATAGATTTTTTAAGCTCTACGTTTGGTAAACACACTTGCCAAGTTTAAACAATTTTGGACAAGCCAATTTTGAGTAATGGGAGAAAAACTGAATCGATTTTTTAATTAAAACTGAATAGGTAACAATCAAACACCAGTCAAAAACCGACATAAAGTTGTCAGCGTCATTTTCAAACGTAACTTAATATTAATAAAATTTTAATATTCAGTACTGGTAATAATTTATTGTTATACGCACAAAGAAAAAGTGAGCATGATACTATGCGGGAAATAGCTTAGACGATGTATTTGACATGTTTCGGTTAATTTCCCCTGAATATTAAAATTAAATTAGGTACTTTTGACAATGACAAAATCATAGTTTGTAAACCTACCTGACCATTGACTGGTTTGATTATTACCTGTTACGGTTTTAATTTAAAAATAGTTGCAATCTTTTTTAAATAACTCAAAATCGGCTGGTCCAAAATTGTTCAAATTTGGCATGTGTATTTACCATACATAAATCTTTAAAAAATATATTTACGACTTCGCTGTAAAATCAATAGGGGAGCCAATATCTGGACAGTTCAAAATTTGCATGGGATTTCCAACGACGCGCGACGATGCACCACCCGGTAGATATTATTCAAAGCTAAGTGTTATACTTCTAATACCGCTTTACTTGTTAATGGTATTCATTTTTAAATATATTTCCGTATTATCTCTCAGCACCCTAACTCTTTCTTTTTTCGATATTCTTATTAATTAGTACGATTTCCTGAGACTAAATAAAACTTACCCCGCCCAAATTGAGTACAGTAACGAGGAGCCCGATCTTGATGGACACCGAATCGGTCTTATCCGAATTCCGGGCGTCCCACGAAGCGCAGTTGGCAAGATTAAGGATGATGCTCAGCACTATTTCCACTGCTAAGCCCTAAAATTGATCGCTGTGTTAGAGGAATGCCACCGGCTTTACGCTAGTTTATTCTCCTAGACGAAACATTTAATTTAACAGAGTGCTCTAGACTTTACTGGATTCTAAAGATATATTTTTTTCTTGGTATTTTATTTTATTGCTAATAATTAATTAGAAAAAATATAAAATTCTGCATTGTTTTTTAGATTTTGATAAACATGCATAATAATATACGCAAATATAGAAACAAACAAGGGGATCATATGAAATTATACACTCAGATGCAAAAAATCTCGCAACGGAGAAATTTTTGGTCAAAAATTTAAAGTGTTTTATTTTTGTTATTTTTAGCCCTATTTTCATGAATTTTTCAGCAAGCTGTATATAATTACATGAACTTAAATTCGTAAACTCAGTTTTTTACAAACTTTAGTATTTGGTATATTATACAGGATTAATCGAGGGGTTGTTTTTTACTATAACTTTAAACACCCTATGCAATAATTTTGTAAGAAAATTTTCCTAAAACTATTTTTTGATCAGAACTATGTCTCCTGATAATTTTTTTGGATCATGTCAATACATGCCCTGGTTAATTTTTAAGAGCGAAATATATATATGAACTTGCAACCAACAATTAGCAATTTTTTCAATTATCATTTATTTTTGAAGTTATTTTTCAATATGACAAGGCAGCTTTGGTGATTATTATGAACTATATACCACTATGAACTGCCTATCATGTTCGACGTTTGGGACATGCTCAGCAGGAGGGTTAGAGGTCGCAAAGCGCTACCAGCTTTATTAAATGAACTTCGCTTGGTCCTTAAAGAAAAATGGGAAAACATAACGCATTATGATATATGCAGCCACAATGACAGTATGAACGGATTTTTACAGCCAGTTATAACAACCAAGGGAGGCAATACAAACAGAGAATTTTGTACAATTTTCTTTTCTGTTTGTATCCTTCAATTTTCTTTTCTGTTTGTATCCTTGAGTATTACAGATGTTTTCTTTAATATCGTTAGTTCTGTTATCGTTATTAATGTTTATTAAAACTAGGACTGTATCGTTAGTCTTTAATGTTTTTTTTTAATTTAGTATAGAGTATCCAATGCAGCGTAATATGACGTTACGACAATAATCACCAAAACCATCTCGTCATATTAAAAAATTACATCAAACAGTCATTACTGTTTTTTTATAATTGAAAAAATTGCAAATTGATCGTGATCAGTTCATTTCGCTCGCTTAAAAATGTGTTTATTTGTTTAGAGTCTGATGCCCTCTAACGGACAAACGAAGCACTTTTGTATAGAGGTAAATGGTAAATTGTGTCCAATGAACTTATTTTCATTCCAAAAATACGTAGTAGTTCTATGTCTATGTTTATGTTTTCTTTATTAGTCTCTGTTTAAACATTGATAAATATCTGTAATAAGCCTGATAAATGCAGACTTATTTGTTCGTTTTAAAATAACTATAAAATATACGCAAATATAGATACAAAACAGCGGATCATACGAAATGATATGTGCTATACAACCTCTTACTATTTAATTAAATTTTTGACAAATATTGACACTTTTCTTTAATAATAAATAATCCGCTATTAGCAATGTTATAAAAGACTTGTTATTTTAGAAATATTTACGGTTTTTTATTGCTTTAACATATTTCAAAAATTAATATTCATCTTTTATTTTTTTAATTATGTATACAGGATGTAAATTAATAAGTTTCAAAGAATTCTGGAATATAATTCCTTTAACTATAATAACTAACCTATTGATATTATTTGTTTGGTGAACATATTTGTATGTGTTACTGTAAAAGCCAGAAATGACCGAATATGAAAAATTACTAGTAAAAGCTCACATTTACTGATTTACTTACACTACGCCAGTAAATGTTCAAAAACTAATTATGAAACTTTATAATAAATACCAATTATAAAACTGAAAAAAGTGAATTTCAGTAATCACTGGAGCTAACTAGTGAAAGCCCGCATTCAATATAATTTTGAATTTGTTCTATCCGGACATTACGATCAGAGATGATCGATATGGCAGCTGACTGAAAATTTGACGTGACACATTCAATTTTATAATCAAGGCATTCGATGCAATCAAATTCATTTCATGAATAAAATAAAAATTAGAGAATTAGAGAATTAGAAAAAACCGGTTGAAACCAAAGGAATTAAAACTCATTCCTACAACTTCGTGTCGATTGATAGTCAGTTGCCCCTTAACATGTAGAGGATTGATGCTTTTTTAGGTTAAGTATAAAGGCAGATATTTTAATTTTGGTGATTTTGTTTTGTTATAGTTTTCTTTTAATTTTCAGATAAGTAGATCCAGCTTAAATATGGTGTTTCAGTGTTTCTAAAAGTTTTATTTGTTCCAATTCCCTCCAACGCGCTTCCTATTGTATTTATACAGGATGGTGGCAACTTTTAGTAAATGTTACTCTCACTAGTGACTACTAACAATTACTAATAAAATTTTCTTTTATTACATTACTAGTAAGTTGACAGATTCTATAGCATTTGACTGTATATTGTAATTTTGGATTACCCTGTAAAAGTAAATAACTTTTTAGCAAACATCAAATCAAAAACAAACGAGGATGAGAGCTTTCTGTCTTACAAAATGAAATATCACTTTTAGTACTCATATCATAAAAAAATGTATTAAGTATTTAATTGTAAAACTGTTCTTAATACTAATAGTCTCACCTGCCATACTGTAATCGATGTATTTATCGTATTTACACAGACACCACGACCTCCAATAAACTCCAAAGCTTCACTATTCGTTACCGCCTGAAACACATAATAAATATTTTAAGAGTAACTGTCTCTTAACAAAATGTACGACTTTTACTAATAAGTCTTAAATCTGTCGTTTGCGAATTGAGCATATCAGTGCCCGTATCTATCATATGAAATAAAATGGCAACACCGCATAGTGCGTGGAAATAAAAATAGCGTACTATATGCAGAATTTTATGCTGAATCCAAATCTGTACAGGAAAATGGGGGATCCAATTTAAAAAAAAACTAAAACTTTATCAGGACTTTTTTGGAGACACCCTGTATAAAACAAAATATTTTTAGGATATGCCTCTTTATAAAGCATGCAACACTTGTATAAAACTTTTTTCATATCTTCAACAAGGACCGCGATATTGGACTTTCTCGCACTAATGGGCAACCCTGTATCTAGAAATTAGATTTTGATTAACTACATGATGAGTGTAGTAATCCTGCAGCAGAACCCTGTACTATAATTTAACTTACCACAAAAATGGCAGCTCCGCTTATCGATCCCAAAAGTTGTGGAATAATGTAATTGAGGATTTGCCTCCAAGTGATTTGATCAACGATCAAAGCGTTTAGGGTCACGGCAGGGTTGATGTGGGCTCCAGAGATATGGGCGAACGTCTAAAAAATAATCAAATTTCAAATTTTCTCGTGTAGTCATTTGCTTAATGGGTTACGAGCTTTAGGGATGTTCTCGGCCAAACTTTTGCAAACCTCGAAACTTTTACTTCAACCGTAGTTCTGGCAAAAACCCAGAGAACTTTTATATCTTGTTTCCTGTTTACATCTTGGATAAAGTATGATTAATAAAACTTTTATTTTATTTTATGTTTCAGTTTTAAATGTAAGGTATTTTTTCGTGTAATATTGCGGGTGATTATTATTTAACTCGCCGTGTTGCTTGGATCTAATCTTGCGAATTGACTTAGAACCACTTCCTGACATCCAATTGGGCTCAAATTTAGGATACGTGTGTATTATCGGTCACAATGCAATATTATAGTACCATAAAGCATATAAAGTCGTACCATATTATGGGCACTTTCACATGCTCAATTTAGCTCAAATTTGGTATACTTGCATCTTCGGTGACAATGCAATATTATGGTACCATAAAGCTGGTCTGAAAATGGGAGTTGAAAGGTGGCCATAGGACCAGGTTATGTTGTCCTTTGTCGAATAACATATTTAGAAGAGCTCAACATCCCAGAATTAGATAATTTAAAATTAACAGAACAATACCTTTTAATAAAGATACATTAATAGCATACACGGATTAAGAGAAAACTCAAAAGTTGAAAATAAAATGTTTAACTAAAAAATTTATTTAAAAGAAGCTTTTATTAAATTAAATCCTTCAATTTATTACATTACACAATTAATATGATATAAAAGCCTGTCGCGAAATTTATCTATGTAGATAAACAAAAGTACAATACTAGATAGGTATAGGAAACCCTAATATAGTTTGAAAGAGCATTTGAATCTGCTTCGGTTTATTTAAAAAAATACAGGGTGTTGCCTTTGCAATAACAAAGTTTTTATATAAAATAAATCCTTAAAATAGATCAGCAATTTTTTATACCCCTGTATAAATTTCAGGAAGCAATACCATTTTTCAATAAAGTTTATTTCTTTACCTTTAAACTTAAGCACAAGAATTAATTCTCAAAAGTAATGTACAGGGTATTAATAATCTATTCTATTGTCGCTTGCAAATTTAAATTTCTTTAAATATCTCAAAAACCAAAGATTTTAAACATATGTAACCCTTATAATAAATGCCATTTTTTGGGCCCAAGAATCCAAAACTGAAATAAAATACCGGGTGTTGCATAAGAAAAAATATAACTTTGGTATGGATCTTGGTTTTGAAACACCCTGTATATTGCAAAATAATTTTAAATTGCGCACCTTGCCTCCCCACATATACCCATAAAATATTTTGTTTCTACATCTTTCCGTTTTCGTATAATCAACCGAGGCGAATGAGGTGCGCCACCCTGTATTGTAAACAATTATTATTAAAATATTTCAAAATTATTTGATTTTATCTTGATTTTACTGAAAACTATAATTTTTCGAAAAGTAGAAGAGGCGAAAGCTATATAAATTTTAAATAAAAGAAAAAGTTTCCTAACATAAAGTTAAAGATGATATTATATTCCTTCAAATTTTAATATATTATGCTAAAATGTTATGCTGGGCGCGAAAATCTCTTTCTACTCTGAAATTCTCCCAGTAAATAATTCACCACTGCCAGGGAGATTAAAATACACAACAGAGGTCTTTCTATAAAACAAGGGAAAAACTTTTCATATTTCTTGAAAACATTCTTGTTTTTTTATTGTTGTTATTGGTCTGTTTATTGTTTTAAGGTCTTACCAAATATCTATTATTTGTCTCTCTAACACATGAATTCTTATGGAAAATGTAATTAATATAATTTTTTCGAATAAATTGTTTTTTGAACCTTACAAGTTCTTAAAATCCTTAACACAAAATCCAAAGCCGTATTTAAAAAAAGAATGTTGATGATGGTGGCTCTAAAACGAAATATGGTTTGAAACTTTGATAACGCCACCTTGTAGGACGAAAAAAGTTGAAAGAAAAATGGGAAATTTATTTTGATGTATTTACTCAAATAGACTCATAAAAAACACCGGTTCCCGGGAGATCAGCTTGGATGCGTGTAGATGGACAGGTGACCGTCTAGAAACTGTGTCGTGTTGTTTGTTCCATGATAAGAGTGTTAAATCAATTGACACACACTGCTCATTCACACCTCGTGAGTAAGTGTCGATTTAGACACTCGCCAAGTCATTAGGTCATTGACAATGATATGGCCGAGGACTGTGGTATCAAAGTACCAGTACAAGTATCCAAGTAAAGTATCAAGGTCCAGAATAGTCTTATCAGCAAAAATAATACGTTAACCCATCATTTACTTTACAATTTTTCTACAAACTATTGGGAATTTTTAAACTTGTAATATGACATTTTGATCAGCACCAAATTGAGTAAGTTTGCCACTGTTTGCCTCCATTTAACGGACATCCTATCTTTTCTAGGCCCGTATTTATAGTTTATAGTCGCGTCTTGAACTGGATCTTCGAAATGACCGACAAAATTACGTGTATATCGGTGGCGAAACGTAAGCCTGTTATTTTTGTCGGTCTTTTTCATCTCGTGACTGGAGTCACGTTTTGAGACTCGACTATAAATACTGGCCCTAGTCTCTAAGGTCCCAATAACGAGTCTCGAATTTGGGAAGCCCTGTAGAGTAATGTTTGTCTGTTTATAAATTTTGTTGCCCTATTTATAATACTACTGAAGATATTTGCGTTTAAAACTAATAGTGGACATCGAATTTGTCACCACACTCTATAAGTATAGCTTATTCTATTTAAATGATAAAAAACGGTTACAGAATAATATGTTAATATTTTAACTTAACTATATGGACTTATGTACCTACATATGTGTTCTATTGAAACAACTTACTGGAGAACACCTACACTATGTCCTCGGATTGTATTTACAAGAGGAAAAACTTTTTTATTATCTTTTTGAAAAATTTGCATTCTTCATAAAAGTTTTTGCTTGTTCTAAAATGGTTAATCCTGTTTGTACTTTTCCAAATTCCCATACCGTTTTAGAGGAAAATGATAAGGATCTTTTTTCTACGTCTCAAGTAAAATCGTGTTTCTATGTTAATACCATTTCGTTTTCGTTCTTTCATAGATTGTTATTAATTTTGATTAACTTAACAATTTTTAAAGAAGCACACAATTTATTTGTTCAGCGCTAAGAGGACGGAAATTTTAAAGTTTTTGTTTCTTTCACATTTTAAAATAAACTTAAAAAATTGTGACGCTAATCGAAATTGAAACAACAATATATCAAAGAATGAAAACGAAATTATAGTATCATAGAAACGCGGGTTTATTTTTGAGACTTAGAAAAAATTACATCTTCATATTTTGTTTATTTATCTTTAAAACGGTATGAAAATTTGGAAAAGTTTAAACGAGATTAACCCTTTTAGAACAAGCAAAATCTTTTAAGAAAAATGCATTTTTCTCAAAAAGATAATAAAAAAAGTTTTTCTGTTGTATAGACAATCCCCAAACATAGGGTAATACTTACATTTTTATCTTTCCACAAAAATCCTTTATAGGTATTTCGCCACTGCACTGCAAGAAAATCTACAAAATAAAATAATTATTTTTTGTAAACACTTCTGAGTTAAACCTAAACGGACGCTGCTTGTCAGAAGTTATGTTTACAGTAATACAAATTTGCCTAACAAAGAAAAAAAAATGCTTAACGTTTCGGAAAGTTATCTCTTCCGTCTACCGTCGTCGGAAGCAAAAAAAATACAAAGAATAAAGAAAAAAACTATTTAAAATATTTAAATTCAACTATTTGAGAACACTTTACTTTTTTTAAAACAGATACGTCTACAAGAAACCGTTGACATTCTGTTAAAATGACATTTTTAACTTGATAGATACAACAAGATAAATAAATATAACATAAGTAAAATTTAAAAATAATCATACAGAAAGTTTGGGGCTTTTTGGTTTTACTTTATTAAGTAATTGTTATCGGGTAGTAATTGTTAATTTTGAAGTTTAAATATCAAGTTAAAAATGTCATTTTAACAGAACGTCAACGGTTTCTTCTGTTTAAAAACTAAAGCTATCGGGCAGACTAATATTTTAAATAGTTTTTCTTCGATAACTGTATTTGCTTTCAACAGATCTTTCCGAAGTATTCGCATTTTTCTTTGTTAGGCTGAAATTCTATTACTGTAAACATAACTCTGACAACGGCGATCCGGTAAATTTAACACGAAGTCGTTTACAAAAAATAATTATTTTATTTGTAGATTCTTACAGTGCAATGGCAAGCATATAAAAGAATTTTTTGGAAAATCCACTACATAGGTATAGACATTTTTTATATTTTTATATTTAAACAAAGGTGCCAGGTGGCGTAGAGGTACAGGCTCTCGTCTACCAATCTCAAGGTGTGGGTTCGATTCCCACACCCGGCATTTCATCAGCCGACTATTTTTATTAAAATAAAAATAGTTTGGGTACCTAGGTCGACTCAGCCTTAAATGAGTACTTGGGATTCACAATCATGAGGTAATAATAGACGGTTGAAGCGTAGTGCTAGCCACATTACCTTCCTTGTATACCGAACGGCTCTAGCATGGCAAGCTGTACCTTGCTACTCCCAAGGCGTTAAACGCTATATACGGGAGCTATTATTATTATTATATTTAAACAAAATAATTATAGTCAATTAATATTAAAATTCAATAATTTTAATTAAATTTTATATAATATTATACCCTGAATACAGAAATTCCGCTCTCATGCATTATTAATTACACTAGTTGCTTGGTATTTAATCACAGTACCCACCTGTATGGCAACCGTAACAGCCAGGCCTGCGGTGAAACTGGTATGCATGCTGGATAAGACCCCCTGGATTCCTAAAGCGCCGCCCATGCAAGAAAGGCATAGCAGGGTTGTCGTTCCAAAGTATTCCGCCAACGCTATACCGAAATGGTCCCATAGGGTTGTCCTTTTTGCTTTCGGATTTTTGACGATTTCATCTAAAACAATAGAGAGAAAGTATTTAAACTCAATTTTTTGCTATATTTAAATATTCCGCATTTGGTTTTGGTTCAGAGTGAGTATAAGCATCTTTATAGAAACCGCAAAACTGGGAAAAAAAGCAACCGAGTTGGAATATATACCGAGTGTGTCTCAAAATTGGCTCACCCTATAACTTTTTTATTTATTTTTTCAGATAAAAGAGAGATTTGGTATGTTAGTATATGACATAAATTAGGATTGATTGACGTATTTGATCACTTCCTGTTTCACCGGAAATGAATACACCTTTTGATTTTTAAATGGCACTCTCGGTATATTTCTACTGTATTCGAAAGAAAACAACATTCTGAATAGAATGGTATATCATATGTCATCTTATGACATTTTCGCATTATGGTGTATTTGAAAATGCAACATGCGGTTCATAACGACAATTTTATTCGAAATACCAAGTGTGTGGTACGAAATTATTCGTAAAAAATGCTTTTTCCAAATATGCTAATGAGCCACCCTTGTTCTATTTGAAAAAATTGAGATATGATTAAAAATACAAATTTGGGTATCTTTTAACCGGCCAGGAGAAGACACAAAAAACATTAGACGATCAAAACTATTTCTCCAAGCTCCTTGATTAAAAATTAGTGTTTTAACACAGTCATGGGACTCATGGAGTTTGAAATTTAAAATGTGATTTTTTTTAAAGTTAAAATATCAAAAGTTGACATATGATATGTTATTCTATTGAGAGTGTCATTTTCTATTCAATAAAGTAGAAATATACCAAGGTTGTCATTTAAAATCAAAAGTTATAATCATTTCCGATGAAACAGGAAGTGACTAAAAACAATTGAATACGTCAATCAATCCTGATTTATGTTATATACTAACATACCAAATCGGGTTTTTTTATCTGAAAAAATAAAAAAAATGATAGGGGTGAGTTACCTTGGAGACGCACCCGGTATAGCGTCTTTACTATAGTTAAGTTATACTATAAAGTTATACTATAAAGAAAAAATAGCAGACAAGTCAAGCAAAAAGAGGAAAGAGCAAAGCAACTCACTGCTGAGTTCGTATACGTCTTGTCTGTCCCTTAGGACCGTTTGACACGGGACTTAAATTTAAGAACTAAAAAGTAGTTTGGGTTATATTTTATAAAATATTGTCTGGCAAGAAATATGTATGTATGTCACAATACATGATTAAAAATTAGAACCGTTTGACACGGGACAATATTCCAGCCTAAATTGTATACAATTTGTTGCGCGCGCATTTTTAGTCAAATTGCATGCAATAAAATAGAACATGTTCTAAAATCTTGCATGCAATTAGCTGAACTTACTTAGGTACTAATTACAGTGAGTAAAAGCCTCACAATCGAACATAGAGCAAACATAAACAATTAACTTAACAAACAAATGTAACATAAACATTAAGGTTATGTTTATCAAAATCAGAGAAATGAAATTATGTATTGCGCATGTTCAGCTAATTGCATGCAAGAATTTAGAACATGTTCTTTTTTATTGCATACAATTTGACTAAAAATGCGCGCGCAACAAATTATATACAATTTAGACTGGATTATTGTCCCGTGTCAAACGGTCCTTACAATGATATTTCATCTAATAAAATATGCCTTTATCAAGTTCTAACAAATCGAGATGTTACACGCTATTTTTATAAGTATTTTCCTATAAGTACTCTATTTTTTGTAACGTTTTTAACATAAAATCGTGCTTTTCTCAGTTTGAAGAGAAATAATTGACTTACATGCTTTTTTTCCCTGACCCTTCAATGCAAACTTAAAATTAAACGGTTTGGTTAGAACGTTAAATTCTAGATTGCGTGTACAGGGTGTCCCATTTTCCTGTGTTTTATGGGGTTTCTCATTTATGAGTAGAGATACAAAGACGCCGTTTTTACATCGCTGTGTTATTTTCTAATTATATTGTTGTTTTACTTTGAAAATTTAAGTAAAAAAAGATTTTTTGATAAAATTTTGAGAACCACTGTATCTTTTCAGTACACTACCTATTTTGTCATATAATTTTCAAAAAACTCCAAATTTTCCAAAAAAAACAAATCGTTGTTTCTGGGATCAAAAATATAGTATACCTCTAAAAATATTTGCGCTTATTTAAGACTCGCCCTCATAGACTCACCATATTATATCAATATACAAATATGTAAAATTTAGCAATTACTTTCCAATCAGTTAATGACTGATTTAATAATAATTACTATAATGCTGCAATTATTGTAGTCAGTTTGTGTGATTTTCTCTTGTAACACCAATGGTTCCAACCGTTAATAAGACAACAAATAAGAATATTTAAATATTTTTTATAACAGGTGGCTAATCGGCGTTAAGCTAAACAAATATAATTATTCTCATATAACTTAAAAATAAGTATTGTAAACAAACATCTAATCTATTTGCATTATTAATCCTCAGATGCAGCGAATGGACTGTTATAAAAATGACATCTGTTGATTGATATAAATCATGTTGCACAAAAAGTTTTATTAAAATAAACGTTACAGATTAGACGGCTTAGTAAAGTTCACAGACATAACAGGAAGATTATAAGTGTTGATTGATCGATAATCCAGATAAAACAGTAGAATATTTATATTAACTTATTGTGTTAATTCTTTATGTCTCAAGTTTTGTTAATATATTCAAATAACTTATTAACAAATGAACTGATTAAATAGCAGGAAGAGTTACTTTCCATTGAGACAGGAAAGAGGGATTTATGAATGATTTAAATAAGATATTATCAAAGTTGTAATTTTTGATTACAGAGTTTTCTTTTAAAATAATTAACTAATCATACTTACAGTCATACAACTTGTCGATCTGTGAATTGTTACCTAAATTAATAATGAGCAAAGTTAACAGAAGTATTTAAAACAGAATTAATAAAATAGAATGCATAATTAGCCCTAATAGCTGTAAATATAATATTCCTATTGAGATACATATATTAATTTAACTTTAATAAGAAGGATTTATTATTTATTTACCTAACCAACTATAGGTATTTTTATTTTCATTTAAAGCAGTAACACAAAGCAGTAGTTGATAAGTTTTATTAAGCGTAAATAATATATAAAACAATCATTCAAAATTAATAAGTACAATAAAAAATGTTTGCCACGAGACTCTCGCATGCTTTTATCTCGAAAACGAGACTCTCAGAGAGAGAAAATCTCGAGATGAGGACGAGAATTTCTTCCCAGCCGACACGAGTTGGTCTAGTTTCTTGTCTTCTAAAAGAGTTAAAGCTTAATTCCATGGAGGGGACATTTAGGAAACATGATAATAGAGCATGCTACACTCAGTCTTTCAATTATTGAAGCATGTAGCTTGCCACAAATTCTTCTCATTAATCTTTGTTACCCGGACGCATACCTCAGTTTTTAACAAGATACTTCGACGTGGAGTAGAATATTGAGAAAATTGCTTTGTTTATCCAAAATTACTATAATTTTCTAGATAAATTAATAATAACTATATAAAAAAAAGTTTAACACCAAATGAACGTCCTGTGATTGTGGTCAACAATAGAGTCAACAATTTGCTTTCTGCTTTCCATCGTGAAATAATAATGCTACTACAAACAGTGATTTATCTTCTTTTACACTAGAGAATTTGGCCTGCAGGTTTAGCCTGCAGACTTTGGTAAGCCAAGACTGTCACTGACCAAATCCGCAGGCTTCATCTGTCAGATTAGATTCACCTAAAAAAAGGAACAAAGTATAAAGTCGGCGGACTTTCAACGCTCTTTCTATCTCAACAATAAACATTTATCTGTATAAAAACTGCTATCAAACGTCGAATTTTGTCCCAAACGAGAATATTTAATCGAGCAAGGATATACGGCAGGCCAAGACTGCAAACCAAAATAGGACAGTTGGTACGTGGCAGGCCACGTCCGCAGGACAAATTCGTAGGCCAAATCTTCTGGTATATGGGGGCCAATGAAACTAGACCAACAACGACAACGGCCAGTAACGACGCGCGACGGAGATATAACTGTAGTTAAGCTAATTTCGTGCATTATTTTTTTAACTATAATCTTTTATTAATTAATTCAATAATTTGAAGCATACTTTCTACCTATACAGAAAAAAAACCTTTATTGATTTTCCCAAAATTTTATTTTTTTTATAAAATAAAGGTTCTTTTCAGAGCTATTAGCAAATTTGCAGCGACTGATGCAATGGTTTGTAAAAAATGTTAGATTTATGTCTAATTAGTAAAAAAAATCTATATGTCAAAAATAAAATATTAGAGTAATTAATCTGATATATATTTTAACATTTCTTCAGCATTCTAAAATTCTTCTCTTATCTAATTAAAAAAAATTAATATTTATTAAGATCTCTCTATGGAGTGTAGAGATGAGGAGAAATATCTCTATAGGACATTATGTTATACGCATAAATCTAAAAAATGAAAAGTAACCATAGATAAGAGAATTACAGTTGAGGGTTGGAACCTTTGGTGTTACACAGCAAAATAAAAACACTAAATCACCACAATACACCAAAACACTTTTACTTTTACACAGGGCGCGCGTTTCGCTAACCATGTTAGCATCATCAGCAGATGATTATAAACTAAAGTACAATCTACAAGTTGAGCGTTTATATACTCGCCCAGTGGGCACCGAGTGAGCTTGGCAAAATCTAGTCAACCGAGTCAGGGCCAACTGATTCCACCATCCGGTCTTTGGTAGACCGGATAAATCTTGCGTTGCCGAACATATTGTTGATAAAAAACATTGTATAGATCTTAATAATTTAAAATTAATTAAACAAGTCTCAAATTACAGGCAATTAGATGCATATGAAAGCATCAGAATTAATAAATGTAAAGATAGTATGAACAGAGACAACGGTCCAATTCCTTCAAGTTCTTTGTTCCTACTACTCTAGTGGCGGAAATCTAACTGTTACGCTCAGTCGGCTCTGACTCGGTTGGCTAGATTTTGTCACGCCCACTCGGTGCCCACTGGGCGAGTATATAAACGCTCAACTTGTAGATTGTACTTTAGTTTATAATCATCTGCTGATGATGCTAACATGGTTAGCGAAACGCGCGTCCAGTGTAAAAGTAAAAGTGTTTTGGTGTATTGTGGTGATTTAGTGTTTTTATTTTGATAAGAGAATAAAAGTAACATAACTAAACATTATCCAAAAAGCTTTGTTTTTATTTTTTAGAATATAAAACAATTATTTTTATTAGAGGCCCAGTCTATTGCTGCTGAATAAAAATCGACAATTTATTTCATGTGACATGAAAATAAAATTTGTATTTTTTTTTGGAACGCGTGCCTTCACGTCAAATATTAATAATTTAATAATAAATAATAGGGATAATTTTTTAATGGAGGAAGATATATTATCTCCTTACCTCTACACTCCATCGATCAATCTGTTGTTCGTTTATGTTAATTCAATTTCTATATTCTATATTGATTTCTATATTTTTCTATATTCTATATTGATTTCTATATTTTTCTATATTTATATATTGATTTCTATAAGTCAGTTCACTACAATAATATGAAATATACCACATCTTAGAAATAATTCGACAGGCTTTTTAAATCATTCATTCGAGTTCGATTATTATTTGAACATTGTAAAATCAAAGTGAATTTTTATTATAAAAAAAATTATTATAAAAAAGTTTTATTATAAGAAAAAATAACTACATTCATTAGCGTGCTAATTTTTGAAAACTATTGAGAATATGTTCATTGAAGAAAGATGACTTTAAGGGGCAGGTATATTGTCATGTATGGTAAATAAAAATGACTGTATCTTACCTACTGATTTTGTAACATACGAATATTTTTTCCAGAAGTTTGAAAAAATACTGGGTGTTTTTCAAAAGTGGCTCACCACTGTAACTTTTTTATTTTTTTTTCTGATAAAAAACGAGATATGTGTATGTGACATAAATCAGGATTGATTGACGTATTTAATTTGTATCGGTCACTTCCTGTTGCACTGGAAATGGCTACAATTTTATTTCTAAATGGTACCTACCCTTGGTATTTTTTTACTACATTATAGAAAATTACATTCTGAATAAAATAGCTTATCATATAACAACTTTTAACATCTATGCCTGAAAAAAAATAGGATTTTAAATTTCAATCTAGAGTGTCATGGCTAAAAAAGCACTAATTTTTAATCAAGGAGTTTTGGAAAAATATATTTGATCGTCTATTGTTTTTCTTGACATTTTTTGGTTGGTTAAAGGATACCCAAATCGTATTTTTAATTACAACTTATTTTTTTGCAAATACGAGGTACGAGGGTGGCTCATTAGCATATTTGGAAAAAGCTAATTTTTACGAATAGTTTGTTACCGCATACTTGCTATTTCGAATCAAATTTACGTTATGAACACAACCATGACACTAGATTGAAATTTAAGTTTTCTATCAAGTAAAGTAAAAAATACCGAGGGTACCATTTAAAAATCAAAAGTTGTAGTCATTTCCGGTAAAACAGAAAGTGACCGAAAACAATTGAATACATCAATCAATCGTGATTTATGTTATTTACTAACATACCAACTCTCGTTTTTTTGTTTGAGAAAATATATAACAAAGCTTTGAAATACACCCGGTATGTTCTCGCTAATTTTTTTTATTTATTGTTAATTCATACTTGAAATTCACAAAACACATCTAATTATTGACGTAAATATAAATATTTAAAAATATTCACAACGCACCTTTGTCAAATTCAAACATTTTTTCTTCACGCGAGATATAAAACAACCGTACTTAACTAATTAGAACTATTATATATCTGTTCACTATCTATTCTGTTTAGCTACTTAGAATCTAATTCACGTTCACGTTTGATTTATTTAGTCTCGTCTGCTCGTCTATCTGACGCAATGTATATTTAATATCATAATTTTATACCTGGTCCACAATAACAATTTAACTTTAGATTTTCTACACATGCGTTATTTTTTTAGTTGATCCATATGTGTTAGATAGCACACAATCTTAATCTAAGTTTTATGTAGAGATAGTCGAAAAAAAGTTCATTAAATCGTTTAATCCCAGTATTCTCATTTCAGAAGCCAGAATCAGGTAGACAGGTATATAATTTTTGAAGCTTTAAGAAAATTGATGAAGATTACCTACTCATTACTTTTGACTTTATTACAATATAGTTCGTGTAACAAACAAACATACCTAATGTAACTGAATACAGTGTATGTGTTACGACAAAAATAGATACTTAGTTAGTTTTAAAACTAACCAGCAATTTTGCAAAATGACCAAAAGCGCCATTATTTTGAAGGAATCCGTCTATCTATAGTTTACAATATAAGTGGTAAGTATGCAATCAATGGTGATGTTATGTGATACAGTCTACAAAAATAGCTGCTAGTTTAGGTAGTTACCGGCTTTCTATCTCAACCAAATCTCTCCATGATAGCAATAGAGAAGATGGTAAAATATCTGTTCCCTAACCACAAATCTGTGATATTTAAGTGCTGTGATATAGATAAGTTTGAATGTTTTACAAAGGATGAACTACTAATGGCTTGTGATAGGTTAAAGAATAATAAAGCACCAGGACCTGCTGGTATTCCTCCAGAAGTTATTAAACAGATGGCCAAGGTGAAGCAAGATTATGTGTGTGTTGTCAGTGTATAATCAACTTGCCCGGTCAAACTGCTTTCAGACTCAGTGGAAAGTTGCAAAGTTATTATTAATCCTAAAACAAAGTAAAAATATAGGCGAACCAACTGCATACAGGCCCCTCAGCCTCCTGGACGTTGAAGGGAAGATATTTGAACACCTAATACTGGGAAGATTAAACAGCGAAGTGGAGAGAACTGGTGGACTGTGCGACAGACAATTCGGATTTAGAAAAGGACGCCAAACGGTAGATGCAGTTCTGCAGGATATTAATTTAACTAAAAAAGCAGCAGCATTTAGTCATCGAAACCGCAGGTTGTGTGCACTGATAACACTGGATGTTAGGAATGCTTTTAATAGCGCGTCATGGCAGCTAATCTTGGAAGAAGAGAGAGGGGCATTAAAAATAGCCTAATAAATATAATAAGTTCTTATCTGTCTGAGAAAAAAATCTTGGTGGAAACTGAAGAGAGAACGAAATTGGTAAGAATAAATTCCGAAGTTCCGCAGGGATCTATTCTTGGTCCCACATTGTGGAATATTTTGTACAATCCCCAGTTGAAGGTGGATATGCCAGAGGGTATTACTCTTATTGGCTTCGTGGACGATGTAGCCATGGTAGTGATTGCTGATAACGAAGAAATACTTATGAATAAAGCTCAGCCTCTTGAGAATTTCTAAATGGATGGCACAAAAGGATTTACAGCTAGCACTATAAAAGACCGAGGCGGTAATTCTAACCACCAAACGAAAACTGGCACCAATTCTTTTCGATATTGAGGGAACATTGATCGTACCTAAGAATGCTGTAAAATACCTCGGAGTCTGGTTAGATAGTAAAACAACATTCTGTGAACATGTTACCCAAACAATAACTAAAGGGGAAAAACTCTAGCTGCATTATCAAAACTAATGCCGAACATAGGGGGCCCTAGGTCATCAAAGAGTAGAATTCTTGTACGCGTAATACACTGACAATTGTTATATGCAGCTCCGGTATGGTATAAGGCAATGGACAAAATAAAAACAAAGCGAAAGATAACAGCTCTGCAGCGCAAATTATGTATTAGAGTTTGTAGTGCTTACAGAACTGTATCTACTGAGGCAGTTGGTGTCATTGCGGGCATTCCTCCTATCCACTTATTAGCTCATGAACGAGAGAATAGATACAAGGGAGAGCTCAAACAAATAGCCAGGAAAACTGTGATGGAGAAGTGGCAGGATCAGTGGGATAAAGGAAAGTACGGAAGATGGACCTGGAGACTTATACCCAACATCGAAAAATGGATTGACAGACTATATGGTGAAGTGGGATACCACCTGACATAAATGCTGTCTGGACACGGGTGCTTCCGAAAATACCTCTATAAGATGAGAGAGATCGGCGGGCAAGCTCTGAATCATGTTTATTTTGTCCCAGATGGAAGGATGAGAAAAATCATTTTAAGAAAAAGAGTAGACTGCATTTCACTGAAACGAACTTGATGAGAAGCCTTGAGTGAGGTGAATTATTATGGGAAACAGTAATTAAATGTATAAATAATATACTAAGTAAAAAAGAAGAGGAACACGGCACATGGCGTTGGCAGCCCCCCACGTCGAAGTAATGCGTAAGCGGTTCCGGCATGGTGTGGTTACTTGAACGAGGAGGGTTTTTTTAGCCGGTAGGAATCCGGCACTACCCAGCTATGGGTGTCTTATTGAAGATTTTTTCCCTCCTCATGAAAAAAAAGTTTAGGTAGTTACCAGGTAGTTTACAAAATCTATTTCGGGTCTTATTAATGTAGATCTTGAATACGGCTAATAGGTTACGGCAATATAACAAATTTCATATTAATTTATAAATGTTGTTTATAGAACTGTATAAATATTAAACAGATACTTGTATTGAATGTGACCATCATCAATTTATTAAACTTTTCTATGTCACCTCCTGACTCTTTATTGTCATTTCCTGAATTGGATAATTATTGAAGTGAAACTTCTTTACGCGCGATGGGAGTAAAAATTCAAGGCCGTGACGCGGTTATGACACACAAGACACGAGAAGAAAAGTGGTAACGATCTTGGACCATCGTGACTCGGGCCCTAGGTGAGCTAAACTTGGCAGAAACTTTGAATGTAGTCAACCAGAATCTTTTCATGATATTTTAAAGACGTTTTATGCTACGAAACCCCATCATCAATGAATCAAATCAAAAACTCGTCCGATTTAAATGAAATTTGGTATGTCGATAGATTGGATCAAGATCAACTTGACGGTGTACGACATGTATCACTATGACAGTTAGTTTTGACGTAAGAAAAGTCAAAATTTGATGTCGTCCGATCGCGACCAAATTTGGTTGGTTAATGTGAGCTACTGTGCACATGGTCACACCCTGCAAAGTTGGATACGACGTTTTGTTTACATCTTCATCAGGGTGGGACTAAGGATTTGATATTGAAGAAAAATGTGGGTTGATTTCGGCATAATTTGGCACGGGCAAAATTGCTGTTTATGTGGATGACACCCTCGACGTTTCGAACCGATGCCTCTAAATGGACAAAATCATCAGGATTTTTCCTAATTATGGGTCGATTGGAACCAAACCCGGCACGTAGATACAGGTAACCGAATGGAGTCCTCAGACGGACAGACGGAAATAAGAAGTTTGACTTCAAATATACGCACATAGTGCACACATATTTTTTTACTATTTGGTTTTCTACTATTTTGCAGTTTTTTAAGAAACTACTCATACAGCTGTACTTGTGCTAGTACAGTGATGACTAATATGATATGGTGGTTGCTTTACAAGTTTCTTTCAAAATTAATAATAACTCAGTTTGAGACAATCGTGTTAGTCAGATGGTAAAATAAAAGCGTAACCTCAGAATTACCTTGCAAGTAGAGTTAAAGAGGGTCCATTCTATTAGTTTATAAACCAGCTAGCAATTTTGCTATTTTGGATGACTAAAACTCTTCTTCTCAGACTTCTCAGAGTGCTGTCTTCATTGTTCATTAAAGGTTGGCAACAATTTCGGCGAACTTCTGACGATTTTGGGCAGCTCGAAATAACGAGTGTGCATCCATACCAGTCCAATCTCTGATGTTTTTCAACCATGAATGTTTCTTTCTACCTATACCCCGCTTGCCCTAAATTTTCCCTCCATTATCAATTTTAACAGCTCATATCTACTTCCACGCTTATTTGACCCAGATGGACTGCCTTACGTTTCTTGGCTATGTGCACTAATTCTCTTTCGCACTGGGCTCGCATCAGCACCTCTTCGTTTGTGACATGTGCCGTCCAAGGTATTTTGAGAAGTCTACGAAGAATCGATATCTCAAGGGCTTCTATTCTGTTAATGGTATTAACCTTTAGAGTCCATGATTCACAGCCATACAACAAAACCGGGTGTACAGGGTGGGTCAAATTCGACGCTTTTAAATGGAAACACCCTTTTCTATAGGAGATAGACGAAAACTAATATCGGTGTCTGGAGCTCAATTTTCATCAAAAACATGATGGTGAAAACCGCACATCAATATCTTTTACCGTTTCGAAGTTACGGGGTGTTTTTCAAAAATGTGCATTTTTAACAAATCGCTGTAACTTTTTTGCTATGGAAAATTTTGTATTTCTATGAAAACATTTCCAAAGTACCTTTTTACGTAGAATTTAATGGTTTAGGTATAATTTTTTTAAAATTAATAATTTAAGAGTTATCAACAGAAAAATTGATTTTTTATTTGTGACACCCTCTATATTTTTAATTAACTGAAAAGAATTTAAAATTACCTTTCCAAAAATAGAGCACACTTGATATTTTGTTATAATCCCCTTCGAAATACAGAATTTTTAAAAGTTCGCCACTTTTAACAAGAAGGCTTTGGACCCCTTATTGATGATATGCCCTTAATGGAACTCGAAACCATATTTTTCCAGCATCTCGACGCACCGCCTCTGAACGCTGAAGTTATCAGCAAATTTTTTCAGTCAATTTCAAGAATAATTTAATAGCTAACCAAGATCCCAGCCGTTGGCCGTCGAGGCCGCCTGACTTAGTGCCCATGGATCTAATCCTATGGATATATTTGCGGAAGAATAAAGGTTCCTTATTCTTCCGTATAATCTAGACAAGAATTAGAAATACTTAGCAGTTATGAAAGGATATCTTTCACCCCCACTGAGTTAATGAATTCCGTGAGAAATG